CTCCTGCTGTCCTCTTTAAACTACTGTTTGACATGCAGAATTTAGCAGCTGGTACTTTTCACAGCATGTGGATATGCATGAGCACCTGCTTATACCTACAGTGAATACAGCTGTTGAAAGTGTGCAAGGAAGAACTGATAAAGCAATAACAATCCTCCTGGAATAACTACAGTTCATCCAAGGTTCCTTTAATTAAAAAAAAGGAGAGAAGCTTTCATTAACTGTATTTTGTTGAACTGTTAAGTACTCTAAATGTAAAAGCACCCAACCATTTGGTCCTCAGCTACAGGTTGGCATTAAAGATTTATCTGGTCTGGAAACACCGAAGAGTACAGATGAAACAGCTGAAAAAGCAGCAGCATCTTTGTGGGATATGATGAAATTATTATTATTAATAATAATAATCATAATTTTAAGTACTAAAACACAAGCTAAAATCCAAACAGTTTTATATCTTCACTTGAGCTTGTTTACATTTAAGAATAACACAGATGTGTTTTTTCCCCTGGATCTAAAATTCTGCATTCTCAGAATGAGAAAACTCTTACATTATATTAATGGGTATAACAGCAGATGCTAACATCTGGATTTTGTGCCATTACAGAACTGTGCATTTGCTTTAAATGCGAAACAGAAAGACTTTTGTTGTTGTTTACTCTCTTTCAGAAAGACTGCAAGAATAATTGTCTTCTCCCCCTTTGCCCTGAGAAGCACAGCAAACCATTTATTATGTTTTGTTCTTGCTGGTTCAGAGGGATCATTTTAGAACTGTGCTTCCTTTGATTTCTCTTATGTAATAAAGGGATGGTCTTTTAGGGCACCATCCTATGGAGATTTAGCATTGCTTGCTGGGGAATCCTGGGAGCTGTAGGACTTTTTTCTTTCTGAACATGGAACATGGATAGGATGGTGCCCTTGGGATCTTTGTGGGGAGTACTGGGGCTCAAACATGCCTGGAAGCCAAACCAAAGCCTTGCCCTCTAGTTCCTTGCATGTGCACCCCATGACTGAAATTCAGTCCAAAGGTGCATCATTCTTTGCCTGTGTTCCTGCCTCTTCCAGACTGGTCCACACATACAGTCTAGATAGATGCAGTAGCTCCTGCAGTTGCTGCTGTTTCCAGGGGACTCTATGGTAGTTGCATACCAAGACCGTGGAAACCATGATCCTGGGTTCAGACAATATGATAAGCCATGATGGTATGCAGTAACCATAAAAGAAACTGTTGTTTTTCTAATGTTTTCTAAAGACCTAGTTTACCACTGTGAAATACCATGGCTGGTAAATAAATTTATTTAGTTGGTATTTATTTTATTTACCAACTAATATTTCAGTGAAATCTCAAGATGGTTTAGAAAAACAACAATAATGACAATAACATAACAGCACTTCAATAAAAGTTAAAACCAGCATGGCTTGTCATGTGCTCTGAACCAGATAATGTCTGTTTTATATGAAATATATACACATTGTTTTAATATTTAACTTATTTTATGGTTTTAATAATGATGAACCACTCAGAGGGCTTTGGCTATTGGGTAGTATAGAAATATAATGAACAAATAGCTTCAAGTTTTTGCTTCTGCCAAAATATGGTCATAGAATAAAATAAAGAAAAAGATTTCCCATAACAAATAGTGTTTTTGTACACTAGAGAATGAATCATTATTCCAGTCTGAAGGCAACTGTAGGCTCATTAAGGAGAGAAAGTTGAAAACTCTTTGTCAGCAATGGCAATTCATATGTTTATGTATACTTTGAAATATCTGCAGGCAGTTTTTCAAGAAAAGACTAACAAACCATTCCCAATCTCCTCATCCTGAATCCAGGACAAAAAACCTGCCTGGTTTATAATAGCATCCTCAGCAGATTTACAAATTATGCTAGATTAATTGCATGCTTCATTACAAAGGACTACAGAATGCTGGGCCAGAAAGCTGTTTTAATTCAGCTTCCTCCTCTACATTTTAGAGGCAGAAACCTACATGCCTAGGCTTAACCTGCCCCATACACCTCTTCTCTGTCTTAAAGAACAACAGAAGGCCTAAAGGGACAGCAGGCTGGCTGCTAAAGTGGCCACGTACCTGGTGCCACCAAACAAGCAAAGGGACAGAAAGGGCACAAATATGTGTAAAATTTGCGTGTGCTCACATACAGCTAGATAGGGAGCTGGATGCAAATAATGGATACATTTAAATAGAAAGGTTTCTCTCCCCAGGGGGAAGCTTGTGATGGTGGGACTTATACCCGCTTGCTGCTGATGGGCATCAGAGCAGGGCAGAGGGGGAGAATCTTGCCCTCTCCTTGATGGTTCTTTACCTTAACCCAGACTTCGACTGGACAATCTTTCAGTAGAGGATGCCTTCAGTTAGAGGACTGTCCTGTGTCAGCCCTTCAAAACAGAGAACTCTTTTGTCTAAAGCAGGGCCTCCGGCCATGCTACCAGCAACCCGGCTTCAACATTCCAGGAAAGTGGCCGCTGGAATCTTATGATGACACAAGATTTTTTTCTCCATTTGAAGATTTTTAAGAAAGAAACGAACAGCAGAAACAGCCCAGCTGTTTTAGAACCAGAGTTAAGATTATCTCGTGTTGGTTTAGCCTCCACAAAGCCAGGAAATTGAAAGCTAGGGTTGACATAGCAGAAGTGCCCCACGATCAGTAATGTTACTGAACAATATCACAATTTCTGCTTCTGTATGCAACTTCCATGCAACTATACTTTTCCTTGGCCTTTCAGGCCCAAATTCATTTGGGGATGATGGAGTGCCTGAGACCAGAAAGAAATCCCATGTTGTCCAAGTCCTGTACCTTGTGAAGCTTCTGAGTCTTACAATATTGCTAGAAGGGCCTTCTGCAACCTGCTGCTCTCCAAAAGTTTTATAACAACTCCCATCAGCCACAGCTGGCATTGCCAAATGGCTAGTTCCATGAGTCCAGTATCTGGAGGGCGCTGGGTTGGGGACAGCTCTGCTACAGGAATCCTCCAGTGAGCTGATCCATGCCTGTTATCTACTTAGGACAGGAGCTGGCACCAGCAGGATGGGCAGAGGCCCCTTTTCAGCAGCCTGCACTGCCCTACAGCCGCTCCCTATCCACAACCTGAGCATGATAATACATCCCCTCCTCAGTTCATTCTCTTTTGATAGATGAACTAGGAACTGAGATGCACAGGGAGAAGGCAGAGCAGAGCAAGAATTGGTTGCCTCAGGTTAGTAAATTTCCCATGCTAGTAAACTGCTTGATGGACACCCAGTTAAGGTAAGTGGGTGCTGGCACAGAGGTTGACTAGTTCTAAAAAGGCAGCGTGTGTTTATAGTTGTAACCTAAGGCCACTGGTAAGTTGCTCAATATTTTTAGAGCAGCAGTGATGGACTGCAGTCACCCAAAAAAATAAAGCTGACCACACATTTTGCTGTATTATATACAGTTTCTTGTGCTCTCAGACTTTGTGGATGAAATTGAGAGCTCAGGCAAATGGAAAATATAATCCATTTGCAAAGGTCTAGGCAAAGTCAGAGTCGAAAAAAAGTTTAATCTATTTCTCAGGAGTCACTCTCTGCCACAGGTTGTGAACACATGTACAAGCTACAAAGAAAAAAACATGGCCATGCATTACACGCAATCCATAGGTTTCCTGAAAAACTGGTTTATACCTGCAGAAACTCCATCCCACAGAGATGCTTGTAAAGCCTCCTGAATTGCCCATCAGTCAGGAATTTCATCTTTTCAGCAAGCAACTTTCAGTATGTCATCTGGGTTGGCACCTACCATTAAACTTAATCTTGTTTTTGTTTTCTTTTTTGTTTTAAGCAAGAAAAAAGGAGGACTGACCTTCCTTGAATTTACCACTCTCCTGTAATTCAACCTCATGAAAGTGAGGTCCCAAGCTGGTGGCCTCTGGATTTTGGGACTACCTTCATGCCTAGTCTGAGTGTCAAAGGGTCAAGTTCAGGGGTGCTGAAAGGCTTCTCCACACAAGGCAGTTATTGGGCACTTGTGAGTCCTCACATGTAGGGCCTTTTCATGATATTATTACTTCCAGGGCCTCTGCTCTGCTCTGAAGGTGAGGAAAGTCAGGTATTAATTTCAAACTATAACAAAAACCTTGCGTGTCACCACAAACCTGCCACACAGCAGTTATACCACAGCACCATCTTGTTGTTGGTTAATAGAATATACGAAAAGGTAGAGGAGCACAAAACCCAGGAAAAAGATGCACCTTTTCTTCCACAATGACAACAGAAGAAGCAGCCTTGATAGAGCAGTGGGATAAACTTCTGAAGTAGAGAAGCCCATAGTCTAAACCATCTTGCTGCCACCAAGTTGAGGAAGGCTGCTTTGATTTATCAGTACCCTGTTGTCATTGGTTATAGACAGAGGCAGGGTGATATACAACATGGCAATCCCATCATGCATGATGGAGAATCAGATGCTACAAGGAAGTGGAGTCAAGAGACATGGACCACTGGCCATTCCATTTATCACATCACTTTTGTCTGGCTTGCAGTTTGTGCCATCTGTGCTGGAGCTCTAACACCACTGCTATTCACCCATGTTAGTTCACCTTTGGCCCAAGCACAATCTTCACAGGATCACCGGCAGTCCCACCAGTTCCACTCACTTGCTGTCACAGGGATGGAGTGGAACAGCTGTGTGGCCTTCTGCTGTTTACACTTCCTAAACTTCTCTGAATAGATGCTCTAGAACTGGAGTCTCCATATTGGTCAGTGTGCCCAAAGACACCTCTCCTGAAGCCTGTCAGTCTCAGAACAGTGTTTTTGTGGTCTGACATTCAGAACCTACCACAGTCCTGTGCCATGGTTCTTAGGCAAGTAAATTTTCATTTAGACTCAGAAGCTTGTCTCCTGGGAGGAGGTATTTTGTGACTGGCCAAGCCCAACATGGTAGCCAATATATGACTGGGCAAACCACTGCCATGGCAACCACTTTGTGAGAATACCCATGATGCATTTCCTCAGAATTCTGCATATACTTACAGACTGTCAAAGTTTGGAGACTACCACTTTAAGGCCAGAGCGAAATTGCAGTAGTGCTACTGCTTCAACTTTTGAGGGTCTGTCTTTCCCTTGGAATAGCTGCTTAGTTTCCTCTATTGCCTTGGAATAGCTATCCAGAGTGACCTTTCATATCCTGGAGAGGGTTTTTGGAAGCTTGGCCTTGAATCCATGTGGAACTTCTGCCAAAGAAACAGTGAACCTGAACAGTCTAGTTATCACTGCAAGTTCAAGATTTTCAAGGAACAACAGAACATGAATAGCAAACATGATTTTTAAGAATATGATTCAGACATAATTTGTTCCCTGTCAAATTACTCAAAGATAATTTGACCCTCTGGTTTGAAAGTTTAGTAATAAAATTATCTTCAATATAGTGTGGGTATTTAAAATGCCTTCAAATGTTCCAGAGAAGTTATTGCACATTTAATTACACTTACCAGACAGTTAAAAATAATAGTAGTAGAACTGGGCAGAGTTATAAATATATGATCTCTAGAACCTACTTATGATGCTATATTTTTACACATAAGCCAGAATTCCATCAAGCATAATTTCTAACTAAGATCCTATTTGCTGTTGTAATCTTTCCATGGTTGTGTAAAATCGACTTTATTCTAGACTTCACAATTTAAAATAAAATCAACTGTATATGAAGAAAGTGCAGTTTCAGGGTACTGCTACTGCAATTGTTGCTTAAATATTATATGCATACATATGTTTGTACATACATGGTAAGCAGCATCTAAATCTATTAAATATTAAATTCAGCAAATACAAGCTTAATGGTATTTCAGAGCAGAGAAGCAGTAGGGCATAGTGGCTAGAGTGCTGGGCTGGGGTTGGGATGATAGCCCATCTCCCAGTCCTTGTGGCAGCCATTTGTTCCAGGTGTTGGTCATTAGCCAGCCATCACTGTTATCTCTGGTGGCCTTGGGGCCATAGATCAGCTCAGGAGGCCCTTCAAGAACCATCCCTCAGGGAGATGAGACGGGTGGCAACTAGGTGAAGGGCCTTTTCCACTGCTGCTCCCCATGCTTGGAACTCTCTCCCTAGGGAAATTCACCTGACGCCATCTTTAATTTCCTTTTGGCGCCAGGCAAAAACATACATTTTTAGAATTTTTTTTAACATTTAGCCTGAATGCTGTGGCCCTTTTTATATTGTTTTTATAGATGCTTTAATTCATTATGTTTAATTGGTTTTAATGTGTCTTACTTTGTTAATATATTTTATGTATTGTAAGCCACCTAGGGAGGCTCGGCAATTAAAGGCGGCCTATAAATACATGTATAAATAAACTAATTCTGGTAGCATTCACATATCACAAAAGGAGGAGAATGACTCCCGAGATCTTAGGTGTCAGATTCCAGCTGGGCTGGCACCTGGATTTTTAGTATGTTCCCAGCTACCGTATTAGCCCTTCCCTCTGGAGCCCCAGAAAGCTGGTTCACATTACAACACCAACACCACGAGAAAGGATGTCTGGTAAAAACATGCCACTCAATACACTGCTGCTATCTGTACCTTTCCTAGAATAGCTCAGCCCAACGTCTGAGTTGACTTTACCCTTCTACTGTGGGTTTGACTCACCCTCTTAAGGTTTCCCTATGACTCTTATACTTTTAACAGTTGACTGGTGTGTCACCAGATGTAGCCTTTTCCTGATGTTGCAATGATGGGGGAGCAGG